ATGAATAACCACTGCGACTTTTTGCATGGTAGAGCTTCCATTCAACCTTCTAGTCTTGTGTTTGCATATGAACTCCTGTCGGCCCTTTTCAGCGCATTCTCCAAGGCGGTGGTAAGGAGCTTTATACCATCGGCCACAAACCCACACTCGCCCAGGTTATCATTTCAGATACCCTCATGCCCAATTACATGTACCAGTCGCACTAATAACCGATGGAATAATCGCTTATATATATATATATATATATATATATATATATATATATATATATATATATATATATATATATATATATATATATATATATATATTTAAATTCATTTATCTAACTGCATATTTCATTTGTCTTTAGATAGACTTCCTGTTCCAGTAGTAGGGGACAAAAAGATCGATCGCAGTTTCCTGTGTACACGCCGACATCTTTACCGGTCTTCTCAGAACAACAGCTTTACAAGTTAAAGCATAGAGTTCGGCCTCGAGGATATTTGCACGACTGTTTAGATCAGCTGTCCCCATCCCCTTTGTTTTTCTTTGCACCTCGTGGCCAAATCTGATAGTTTCCCTGGTACCTTGTAAACTAATGTGGAATTCATGTCGAACACATTGCAGGTAGAACAACGAAGGGAAATACAGGAAAACATACGAATATATTTTTTTTTCTATACTTTCGTTAACTTGTTCTACTTGCCTGTAAACTAAGAACCACTGTTTTTTCAGGTAATCTGTATATAAAGTATTTATAAGTATTCTGTGCTGATAATGATTTTATATAAAGAGACTATGTAAGTACTTTATATTGTAATACTGATTAACTGCAAGATGTTTGCCTCTGCAACATGAAAGAGTCTGAGAGTTTGCCTTGCTGTCTGCTCTCCGTACCCGAGACGCCTGTGCACCCCTCGGGAACATGTCACCCAAGTCAAGGACCCGTGAAGTAGAAACATATTTATAAAAGTCTATGACATTAGTTAAAATACTCCCAAACTACCACACCGATAGAAACGTAAGCTGATAAGCATGTGGAATTCGGCCTTATCACAAACTGTACCGTAGTAAGAGTGATTCTTTTTATCACTGATATGGCTACGATAGCTCACTAAACGTATTTGAGTGCTTTATCAGATAATCGTTATCCAGAGGGGGAAAAAATATGCTGTAGGCTTCGTGGTTGTACTGTTGCGTCTACCCACACACAATAGGTATTTGCTTTTGTCTAAAACACACACACGTGAGAGGAGAAAGAAAAGCGAAAGGAAAGGAAGAGAGAGACAGGGAGGGAGGGAGAGAGAGAGAGAGAGAGAGAGAGAGAGAGAGAGAGAGAGAGAGAGAGAGAGAGAGAGAGAGAGAGAGAGAGAGAGAGAGAGAGAGAGAGAGAGAGAGAGAGAGAGAGAGAGAGAGAGAGAGAGAGAGAGAGAGAGAGAGAGAGAGAGAGAGAGAGAGAGAGGAGAGAGAGAGAGAGAGAGAGAGAGAGAGAGAGAGAGAGAGAGAGAGAGAGAGAGAGAGAGAGAGAGAGAGAGAGAGAGAGAGAGAGAGAGAGAGAGAGAGAGAGAGAGAGAGAGAGAGAGAGAGAGAGAGAGAGAGAGAGAGAGAGAGAGAGAGAGAGAGAGAGAGAGAGAGAGAGAGCGAGAGAGCGAGAGCGAGAGCGAGATGCATACAGAGACAGAGAGACGTTAAACAACCTCTAGCACCTGCCGAAATCAGGTGATATATCTGGATTGTCACTCGCGCGATGTTGCCGCCAATTTGAGATCATAAACAATCTCTTTGTAAGACCATCGGGTACCTGGCAGATACGACCGATTAAGTTTCTAACACTGATCACAGAATAATTGTGCCAAATAACTACTAAAAAACTGTGGGTGATCTGGTTTATAATTAAACCTACCCAATGTTTGGCAGTTAAAGCCTTCGTTTGAACATTTTCTAGGTAAAATCGTCATTTTATATGAAAAAGATTTTTAAACTAAACATGCATTCTGGCGAGTGGCAGAGTCATATATGCATAAAGATTTTCTACGGGCGCATAAAATGACCATTAAAAGAATGTATTACAGTTTGCAAATGCGTTTTCATGTTTCATGAATGTATATATTGCCACACATATATAATTGCATTTACATATATATGCATATTTACATATACATACATATTTATATATACACACATGGTAGAAAATAACACAAATGAAAACTAGATTTATTGAAAATGAGACAACAGTTTCAAAATCCATCCGGATTCCATCCTCAGACCTGAGGACGGAATCCAGGTGGATTCCGAAACTGTTGTCTCATTTTTAATAAATCTAGTTTTCATTGTGGGTTTTTCTACCATTGTATCAACACAGTAGAGTGTTTTCATCATTCATATACACACATACATTTAATATATACACATATATGTATGTATATACTGTATATATATACATACATACATATATACATATATATATATATATATATATATATATATATATATATATATATATATATATATACATATATTATATATTATATATAATGTAGATATTCATATATATATTTATATATATAAATATATATATATATATATATATATATATATATATATATATATATATATATATATATATATATATATATATATATACATATATTCACTAATATCTAGATCTATATATACATATGCAAATACATATACTCATATATATATATATATATATATATATATATATATATATATATATATATATATATATATATATATATATATATACATATAGATAGATAGATAGATAGACAGATAGATATATGGCCAGTAGACAGACAGGCAGATAAGTAGATAGACAGATATAGATATATAAATATAACTGTGAACTCTAACATGTTTCCCCCTCTGCATATACAAACATCTTCACTTCTCTCTTATCCATTTCGTTTTTTTTCTCTCTATTCCCCTTTATCAAGGAATTCTCCCATTCCCTTTTCACCCACTCTTATACCCCACGGCGTCCCTCACATCTTGGCTTCACCCTGCAGAAGACGCGTGGGGCGCTGATGTTATCTGAAGGTGAAAGCCACATTGTATGCTAGCCAAAGTTGAGTCGAGTGTAGGTTTATAGAATTCCATGTTTATTTGATCCCGTGCGTTTGATAGTCGATGCTGGGAAGCAAACGAGATGAAAATAATTCCTTTAGTTTGTGAGGTGTGATCTGTTTTATTTTTTTATTTATTTATTTATTTATTTATTTTTTTTTTTACTTGGGAAGATAATGTCCCGTCGAGATGTGTATCATGTGGATCTGAGATTTTACAATTCCAGTGTTTCTATTGTATGCAGTTTTTTTCTTCCTTTTTTTTCTCATGGCGACCACATGCATGTTTTCTTGACATTGTGAAACAAAGGGCCGTTACCACATCAGGGGTATGTACGTTCAGCATGGTTATTAGCTTGTGGTCACTATGGTAACGCCGAGAGATGGGAAAGATTAATTGATTTTTTTCCTATGTCACTCACGCTATCACAAAGTAGCATATAAGATACACTGGGTTTAAAGGCTCTGTTAGCAACGTATGAGATCACATGCAGACTATCAACGTGTCAATTTTTTTTTACAATTCACCACATATTTCTACAAAGCATTTGTAAGCGCGCGGAAACTCATTTCTGAACTATTGCTCCATTTCCCAGTAGGATAGAAGGACAAAGAAAATGTAATTATGCAAAATCTCCGTATCGCAATGGAACAGTACGATTAAACACAACAGCTGAGAGCAATATCAATACAGCTCAGATGCATTTCAGGAACTCCAGTCACGTGGGGTTATTGAAGACGAGAGCAACGGGGCCATGGCTGCGGCCTCGCTTGCGTCGATCTGATATTTACTTCTTTATTTTAAATCTCCATTCATCCTCCTCGAGCCACTGCCTGTCTCTTAGGGGAAAGGAGTAGCTACATGCCTCTTATCCACGGGAGTTATAGAGGCAACTCCATTTATTAAGAACACTATTGAGGAATCCCCCCCCCTATCACCAGGCTCAATAATATCACTAGCATATCATCTGTCATTATCATTATTATTATTATTATTATCATAATCATTATCATTATCATTTTCATTATCATTATTATTAATATTTTTATTATTATTATCATTATCATTATCCTTATCATCATTATCATCATTATTATTATTAACATTATTACCATCCTATCCATTTTTTTTTAGTTCAGTATGTTTGTGCAGAGGGATGGGAAACTCGTGTTATAATTCAGTATTTCAAAATGCTTTTCTGTATAGGTATAAACACGAGCTTATCCCACGCAAGGTCACCGATGTCATGCCGTTACCATCTAGAATTATTCATCCATGACCTTCAGCGAGAAAAGAATTGCACGCAGTCATACTCTTAAAGCATACCGGGGTAGAGACAGATATGGGTTAAAGTTTTCGCAGGAGTCGTAGAATATATGTGTGCATGTGTGTATGTGTATGTGTATGTGTGTGTGTGTGTGTGTGTGTGTGTGTATGTGTGTGTATGTGTGTGTGTGTGTGTGTGTGTGTGTGTGTGTGTGTGTGTGTGTGTGTGTGTGTGTGTGTGTGTGTGTGTGTGTGTGTGTGTGTGTGTGTGCAGTAGGTGCCGATCGCTGTCTCGTCTGAACCCGCGTCTTTAATTTCCGTCAAAATGTGCACGGCATCGAGCGCTCCGGAAAAAAGCCGAAAGCTCCCAATAGCCTCACGTGTCGCGATACGCCACGGTGCCGCTCAATTTTGCAACACGCCTTCCACCCGTCTCGTTCTCGTCTCCTGCACTCTCTCTACTCTCTCTCTCACATCCTTTAGCCCAGCATCCGACGCCAATTGAAGATTTCTATACCCTCGCCTCCCCCAATTAAAAAATCCCCCCCATATCCGCGCAAGGGAGGGAGACGTGGCACCGCCGGAACCGAGTCACGTGCGAGGCGGCCAGCTGACCCCCTCGGCTGCCAGATGCGCGACGACCTCACAACAGTCGGGCTCGCGGTGCGGCGGCGGAAGGGGACCAGCCTCGTCGCGCCTCACGAAAAGCTCCACACACACACAAAAAAAGCTCCACACACGAAAAAGCTCTACACGAAAAGCTCACCCCAGATAACCTAACGCTGTCGTGAAAAAAGGAGAGGGGGAGGGATCACAGGTGAGGAGATCTTGTGAAATATTGTGGAAGAAAGAAAGAAAAAGGTGCAGGAGAGAGAAGAAATCAAAACCAGTCTTTCTGTTATCAATAAAACGCCGCATCAGGTGTTATAGCATTCATGGAGGGAATAACGGAGCCCTCATGACAATAAAGAAAAGAAAAAAAAAATATGTCCAGAAATACAAGATAAAAAAAAAATACCTCCTTTTCACGGGTCGCGAATTTAGGGATTTAGTGCGGAGTTCTTTTTTCTTCCTTTTTTCTTCCTTCTTTTCTTTCACTCGGGTTCGTAGCGAGTACGAAGAAGTAGGAAGTAGAAGTAGAAACTAGGAAGTAGGAGTAGAAAGTAGGAAGAAGTATTAGAGGTAGGAAGTCACACTAATACTCAGCAGGTGTAGAGCTGCGGGTGGGTGGGGGGAGGAGGGAAGGGGGGAGGGGAGGGGTCCTTCCAGGTGCCTCACAAACCCTAGTAAGGTATTAATTCATTCATTCATTCATTCATTACTTCATTAATTAATTAATTAATTCATTACTTCATTAATTAATTCATTCATTCTTTCATTAATTCATTCATTCATTAATTCATTCATTCATTCGCACATCATTCTGCGTTCGTCATTCATTCACCGGACGCACAGAGGTAGAGGGCAGTGGACTCGGCCATCGTATAGTGCATAGGAAATGGAATAATAGAACAAACACAGGAACCGTTGCTTTGGCCTCGTGTTTACCGTGAAATGAAAAAAAAATTCCGCTGCATATCATCACTCAGAGTCCACAACGCCCTCACACAAAGTTCTTAATGTGTTTTCTAAGTCCGATTTTTTTTTTTTTTTTTTTTTTTGATAATTCCTTCATCGCTGCACCTCGCCTTTACCCTCCACTGAATGGTATGCGTCTCAAATATTTTTTATAACAAAATTGTCGTGGCAATTGGCATGAAGTTCTAATATAGGGAGGGTATACCTGTGGCATAAATTGAAGGTAGGGAAGGCTAGGTTTGGCTTTCGGGCTTTGCATGATACCCTGGCTGAGGGACGTGGAGGGTGCGCATCAAATACCCTAAATTTTATAGGTATAGTTTGATCAAATCTTATGATTTTAATTATTAAATGACTAATTAATGAGTAATTAAGATAAAGTAATGGTATGTTATTATTATACACCATTTTTATTTTCAATTTGTGCTGAAGTCTCTGTTTGAAGAGTCTGAGATTTCTTCAAGGTAAAAAAAAAAATTCACTCTTTATTTAGAAACCCAGATTGTCAGATTCTGAAACTAGCTGTGAATCTTACTAAATAACCAGATAAGGGTGAGGGTACAGAATAGGGCCACAGTATGTAATTCTATGGTATTTGGTACCGAAGAATATTTCTCGACTTCTAAAATTCAAATGCACAGGAATTATAAAGTGAATAAAGATGGGGTACTTGTTGCTTTGATCTAAAGGTTCTGTCAGTCACTCCCCCCTCCTTGTATGTTGGGAATAATTGGTTTTCTAATCAAATTTGCAAATACTAGATCAGTTCTCAGGTATCTAAGTCCACCGAGCCATCGAGCCATTTTTTACAAATCGGAAGTAATGTACAGAAAGCCTTGTATATCTTGGGGAAGGAATTTTAGGGTAAAAATATGAAAGAAACTGAATAGTGTGCTTGGAAATAAGCAATTTAAAATATTGACTAAAATATAAACTATAAAATATGGGTATTGGTGCAGTTTTAACTAGATGTAAAGGTAAAAACTGAGTGATATAACAGAGTGAAGAATTCAAAACAACTTCTTCCATGGTAGTTCTTTCACAAATTCAAAGGAAAGAAGTTATTTGATGTAATATTAACAGTGGATGAGCTTTACTTCCCTACACAGGCTAAAGAGAAGTGGTCGTCAGCTCAACAGGAGGTTAGTCACAGGGCAGGCTTGAGTGTTTGAAGAAATGTTTTAACCCAATGCCGCAGGGGAAAATGAATAAATAATGGGGAAAATGCTGTGTTCGTTTTTTATATTTTTGGTGAAATGTCTATGCACATAGATGGCTCTGCTAGTGCTTAGCCATAAAGGAGTCAGTTAGTAGACCTTGTAACCTTACCTGATTTGAACTGGAGGAAAAAATATATTTTCTACTAGTGCTATGAAAACCTAATGGTGTTATTTTTATTATAAGCATTATAATTACTATAATGTTATAAACATTTGTAACAGCAAAATAAGATAACGTAAAATATTTTCGTAAAGGAAGAAAAGGGGAAACGGGCGAGAAAAGCAGTACTCGTAATTGGCTCATTGGTGTCTTTGTACGAGTGTAGCCATCTATTTATAAAAACAATTAAACAAGTAAACTCACAGCGGGCATGACATACATGTACCCGTCATGCCCGTTGACATTGGGTTAAGTAAGTGTATCTATCACAGAGCACTGGAAGTTACTAGTGTCTTTTCATTGGAAAACAGGTCATCCAGTACAGGAAATGAGAATGCCATTTTGATGTATATACTATAATTATGAGATTTTTGGTTTGGTTTCCTCCAAACACTTCACATGTACAGTATATAGATAGATAGAGGGATAGATAGATAGATAGATAGATAGATAGATAGATTGATTAGTACCTGATCTATCAGACACTAACCATTGAATAATCACAATCATCTGGAAAGAGAAAACATAAAATAAAATCACACGGAATGTGTGAATGCTGAGTGGATAGTTCTACATATGGCTTCTACAACCGTACTGAGTGAATACATCTACATTTACAGTAGGGTAACAGGCTAACCCTTATGGACTATCCAGGTCTCCAGAATATGTCACTGTGGTCTAAATTTTGTAACTGTTACTTTTATTGCTTGATCTTGACTTTTCTGGTATTAAAAATGGTACTTGAGATATCAGATAAAGCACTTGATACTTTGAAGTATAAGGAAGTTACTATGTGGAAGGCTAGCAAGGAGGAGGAAGTGGAGGTCCTTGGAAGTGTCTGTCAGTGAGAGCATGTACATATACGTATATGAACCTTTGCTGTTGTATGTTTTATGCTCGCTCTTGACTGTGTGCATAACAATGTATTTGGCTGCATAATCAGTTATCGATGCATTGCCCATCTGATATGCCCCTCTTTTTCATTCTATTAACCCAGTTAGCGCAGGTGGCAAGACTACAAAGCCATGCCCACTGTAATAAAAGTTTATCTATTGTCTTTACACATAGATGGCTTTACAAGCGCTCAGTCACGAAGGAGTCAGCTATTAGTCTTACCTATCTCACCTGTTTACCCTTTTCCGTGATTTTTTTTTTTTTTTTAAGCTTCATTTCTATTATTTTATTGTCTTTGATATTATTAATATTCTAATAACAATTTGATAATCATAATATCAGTAAGAATGATAGCAGTGTCAATATCAGTAGTATTGGAAAGAAAAACACATTTTCCCACCAATTCAAGGAATGGGGAAATCAGGATCGGTCATTAGGACCAACTGAGAGACTCCTTGCTGCTGAGCACACGTGGAGCCATCTGTATGTAACAAAACACACTAAAATATAAAGGGGACAGTATATGAACCCAAAGACATCGGGTTAATATCTCTTTTTGGGTTAGCGTCCAGCATCGCATTCACTCTTTGTACTGTAAAAGAAGCAAATATGTGTTAATGGAAAATAACCTGAAAAAGACTTTTGTTCCTGTTCACAAATGCAACTCACATTATTTATTATGCTCACAGGTTTGGTATATCTCTTTTTTTTTTATACTAATGTCAGTACTTATTGAGTTTAATTACCTATTTTCATTTACAGGCAACAATGGCTAAGACTTCAGTGCACTGGTTCAGGCATGGGTTGAGGCTCCATGACAACCCAGCTTTATTACACTCTGTGAAAGATGCCGAAAAATTTTATGCCATATTCATTCATGATGGAGAGACGGCAGGTAAAGTCTCTTATTTAAGGATCTTCAATACGTAAATGATACTGTTGACAGTTTGTCACGACAATATTATACGTGTGCTTAAACATTACTATGACACTTCAAAGATGTCTCAATATTATAATTTGACAAAAATTGGGTTTACTTTATTCTGCCGATATATTTTCAGGGACGGAGGTTTCAGGTTATAACCGCATGCAGTTTTTGACGGAAGCGCTGTGTGATTTGGATGCGCAACTACGGGCAGTTGGTGGTCAGCTGTATATATTCAAAGGAAAACCAGCGGATGTAATTAAGATGCTTCATACTGAAATTAGAATAACTCGTCTGACCTTTGAACAGGTAAGTTTGCAAATACAAAGAAAAGACTTCATGATATTAAATACAAATATTTCCTAAAAGAACAATATAGCATAATTCTTATATTCATTTATATGCTTTGTAATTTTCTTTTTCTTTACACAAATTTTGATTGTGTTAGAACAGACTCATAAAGAAGGCAAAAATTGATCATGAATATATTATAGTAAATGGTTAGGTTGCCCATCTACTATGTTTAGTCTGGTGTCTTATCTCTTTATGGAGTGACTGTGTGGGTGTGAGTACCCACGGGTATGGCTGGGTATTGGAGACTAGAGTTGGAGTTCTACGGGGGAGCCGGCTGGCTCCCCAGTCGGTGAAGGACTTGGCAGTCCTTGAGTGCCGTTGCTGTAGTCGGTGAGTCTGGAGGATCGGGGATTGCTGATCTCGCTGAGAGCTCTGCGGCTTAAGTACACTAGCACTGTGTAAGCACGCAGGGAACGAGGGGAGCCCGCTGGCCAATGAGCGCAGCCAGTGGCGGCGGACCTAGCATGACCCAACCTGGGAAAGTATGCTGTGCTTCAGGTTGCGGGGTCATGCTGCTACAATATGTAAGATAAAAGTGAGGAGAGGAGGAAGAGAAAAAATGGGTGAGAGGGAGAGAGAGAGAGCGAGGGAAAGGGAGAGGGAGTGGGAGAGGGAGGAAGAAGAAGAAGAGGAAGAGGAAGAGGGAGAGGGAGAGGGAGAGGGAGAGAAGGGGATAGGGAGAGACGGAGAGGAGGATGAAAAGGGAGACAGAGAGGGAGAGGGAGAGAGAGAGGGAGTGGGAGAGGAATAGGAAGAGGGAAAGGGAGAGGAGGGGATAGGGAGAGACAGAGGGGAGGATGAAGAGTTAGACAGAGAGAGAGAGTAAAAGAAAGAAAAGGAAAGAGAAATGGAGAGAGGGTGAAAGAAAGAGAGAAAAAGATAAGGAAAGAAAAAAAGGAGAGTGAGAAGGAGATGGAGGGAGGGGAAGAGAGGGAAAGTGATAGTAGATGGCATATAGAAAATGAAGGGAGAGGGATAGGGAGAGGGAGAGGGAGAGAGAGAGGGAGTGGGAGAGGAATAGGAAGAGGGAAAGGGAGAGGGAAAGGGAGAGGGAAAGGGAGAGGGAGTGGGAGAGGAATAGGAAGAGGGAAAGGGAGAGGGAAAGGGAGAGGGAGAGGGAGAGGGAGAGAGAGAGGGAGAGGGAGAGAGAGAGGGAGAGGGGGAGGGGGAGAGGGAGAGAGGGATAGGGAGAGAAGGAGGGGAGGATGAAGAGGGAGACAGAGAGAGAGAGTAAAAGAAAGAGAAATGGAGAGAGGGTGAAAGAAAGAGAGAAAAAGATAGAGAGAGAAGAAAAGGAGAGTGAGAAGGGGTGGGAGGGAGGGGAAGAGAAGGAAAGTGATAGTAGATGGCATATAGAAAATGAGGGGGAGAAAAAGAGAAAGGAGATGGTTGAATGATGGGGAGAGAGACAGACAGACAGACAGACAGACAGACAGACAGACAGACAGACAGACAGACAGACAGATAGATAGATAAACAAACAGACAGACAGACAGACAAGACAGATAGACAAACAAACAGACAGACAGACAAAACAGATATATGAAATGAAATACAGTAGATTCTTGTATTTGGAATGTGACAAGTGCAAGTTGTTAAAGGGACTTTAAATACATTTTCAGGACTGTGAGGCGATATGGAATAAACGCGACAATCAGGTACGCAGTCAGTGCAAAGAGCTCGGCATAGAGATCGTGGAGGAAATTTCTCACACCCTTTGGGATCCATTTGAGATTATTGAAACTAATGGAGGTCAGCCACCTTTGACCTACGAGATGTTTGTGGTAAGTTCTCTGCATTTTTTAAGGTTTTTAACCTCTTGCCGACGGGGAAAATGAATAAGAAATGGGGAAATGCTGTGCTCATTTTTAAATATTTTTTGTGAAAAGTCTCTACACATAGAGGGCTCTGCTTTACCTGATTTCACCTTTCCTTGAATTGGCGGAAAAATATAATTTTTACTAATGCTGTGAATATCGATGGTGTTATTTTCATTATAAACATTATGATTAATATAATGTTATAAACATTAGTAATAGCAAAATAAGATAACGTAAAATATTTTTGAAAATTAAAGAAAAGAGTGAACGGGCAAGACAGGCAGTACTTGTAACTGGCTCATTGGTGATTTAGTACAAGTGTAGCCATCTATGTGTAAAAACAATCAAAAAAGTAAACTTACTGTGGGCATGGCATGTACGTTCATGCCATCCCCGTCGGGAAAGGGTTAATGAATGGTGATCATAATGCCAGAATTCTTCTTGAGCTTTTTATCTTTAGGGCTTTTGGAATATCTATAGAATAGCACTTAATGAAAAAATAAAACATTTGAATTCTCTTGTGTATTCTTTTTTTTTTATCTCCCTTTCTCTCATTCTCTGTCTGTCTGTCTGTAGGCCTAATTTTCTTAGTCTGTGTTTCCATATCTATCTGTCTCTATATGTCTCCATCTCTCATTCTTACTTTGGCTTGTCTTTTTTTCTGTATATTTTACTTTTATTTCTCTTTCTATCATTTCTCTATTTTTCTGCTCCTTCCCTTTACCTCCTTCACTTTCTCCCTTCCTCGTCCACACCTAACACCCACCCACACCCACTCATGCTCATGCTCATCCTCATCCTCATCCTCATTCTCTCTCTGTCTCTGTCTCTGTCACACTCTCATAATGGAATAACTTTTTTCTGAATGGTAGGAAATTCATAATGAAAGTGACTAGTATTTCCTCATTAAATCTTTACCATTGTTTGTTATGCAGCAAGTGTCAGCAGTATTAGGTCCTCCCAAAAGGCCAGTACCTGACGTCAAGTGGGAGGATGTCATTTTTGGAGAAATTTCAGATGAACTTGCCATGAAGTTGCAGGTAAGGATGATTTCTTGTTGATAGTGAGGTTCTTTGTCTTGTTTGAGGTTCTTTGTCTTGTTAGAAATGAGTTACTTTTGGAGGCAAGTACTTGTCATACCTGTGAATGCTTGGAATTTTGGTTGATAGATATCTGAAAGAACTCTTTGAATAGAAAAGATGGGAGAGATGAAAATAGACTTATTTTCAGCTATGTCCTCACATCCCAACACCCGGGGAACTTGGCTGGAATAAGGAGTGCGACGAAGAATCAGCTTATGTTGGCGGAGAGACGGCTGCTTTAGCGCACCTGCAGAAGAGACTGAAGGTTGAGGAGAATGCTTTTAGGTATTTTGAGAAATATGGCCTTTTTTAGAGCTTACGTTTAACCCTCTTAGGCATGATTTCTTTCGTGTGTGTGTGTCTGGGCATGAGAGAATTAAAGGCGTTTCTTTTCTCTGCTCCAAGAAACGTATTTTTGGATGGTTTGATATAGAATGTGAAAGTTTTAGGGAGGAGGCTGAGGGTTCTCGTACTTGTGATGTCTTTTACATTTTTGAATGTAAATGTGATTCCAAGTTTAAGAAAAGGTCATTGTCTCCACTGATGTGGTAATTTTTTGTGGAATTTATGCCATTCTTTTTACATTATATTGGTAATCAGATTTAGCAATTCGATCAAAGATGGAATGAAATAATTCTCCATCTATGTGAACTGTTACAGAAAATGGATTTGCTTTAGGGTAGACTGATTATTTTCGTAACTGGGATAGTTCTTTTTTTTTCTTCTCTCTCTCTTTCTCTTTCTCTTTCTCTTTCTCTTTCTCTTTCTCTTTCTCTTTCTCTTTGCAGCTTAGTCTGGGTATTGGTGGAGGTTTGTGCTCTCAGAGTGCAGAATAATTTCTAGGTATATCCTCTGAGTAGAGAGGAATCATTGATCCGAATGTGATTATTGTAGTGTTGTGGGGACTCGAACTTTAGATGCAATGATCATGTATAGAAAGCTATCTTTTAGGTAAGTCAAAAACTGTATAAAATTCAGTTTTTGAATTATTTATTAGATATGATACGTTTTTGCATATTTATAGCTATTGTTAAAAATTATACAAAAGAGTATATATTTTATTAGTAATACAGTATAGACTAATGAGAAGAAGAGCATTTCCAAAAAGAGCAATAGAACGCTTTCGGTTTGCTCTTCATGTGTTTTTTGTTTCGGTCATTTAGGGCTAATTAAAAGGGTGCGAATTAAGGGTACGCTTTTTCCCCAGGGACTGCTACATTCTACCGAACCAGGTAAACCCAGATATTCTTGGTGAACCTATGAGTATGTCGGCTGCGTTGAGATTTGGATGCCTCTCCGTCAGAAGGTGAGTGATGCATATTTCTAGCATTGTGATGTGGTATAGTCTTTGAAAGTTTCGAGTTGTTCTTTGTTTTTATTTGTGGTATGGAAAGACCATTATGTATGTTTTTGTATCTTGTGACCATTTTTTAGATGTGCAGTCAGTAGAAAATGAAGTGAAAATTATTAATGTAAGATATGATATATAGTTTAGTATCCTCTTTATTTCA